CCCCCCCCCCCCCCCCCCCCCCCCCCCCGACCTATGACCAGATCAACCCTGTGGGTGTCACCGGTTTGGACTCACTCTTGAGATTGGTTCGTGTTGATTGGTTGATTGGTCTATCATATTTAGTACATTAGGCATTTGCATGCACAGTGTACAAAAATACGTCGCTTTTGCGAGTCAACGCGTGTTTTGTATATTCGCGGGGTTCGATGGGCGTCGCCGGTGGCTGGCAAGCCGGTCGGGGAAATGACGCACAGTAAAGGGGAGAAAAACGGGAAGACTTCGGAGAGAAACGAAGAGACGATCTCCGACCCGCGTCATGTCGTGCCGGGCAATTCGCGGGCAATTCGCGGACCGGCCGGGGGAACCGAGCATGCTAATGGGCCGAGAAGGAATGACCATGCACACGGCGGGAGGGATCTCCCACGAATCGCATCGCATTGCGAAGGGGAGATGGAATGGGTGAGGGAGGGAGAGACCCCCAGACAGGAATATTAGGAAGAAAGGCCCGGGGAGAGCCCTTTCTCTCATAAAGTGGGTTGTCGCTGGTTTCATTATGAACTGGGTCTATCATTGATCAGGGGAGCCGGCCCATTTCTCGCCCTTCTCACCCCCACACATCCTCATATTTCTATTAAGTCATGCGCTGGTTCCTGCATGCGCCCGGAATGGCAGAAGAATCCGAGAGAGAGAGAAGGGGAGGGGGGAGGGGAGGGGAGGGGAGGGGGGGGGGAGGGGACGTGGCCATCAATTCCACTCTCGTCCCGGAATGCTGAGAGGTTCCACTAAAACTTGCACTCATCCCTAAATGGTCAGCCTCTGTCCTCACGACATCCCCCTCTCCTCTGTTTTTTCGCATATCGTTCGTCGACGTTCGTATTCCGGGACGTGACCTCCTTTCCAGGGTGCACCCGGCCCGACCGGCCGTTTCCAGTGACGGTTGCCCCCCCACCCCCCTTCGCCCCCTTCGCCCCCTCGCCCCCCTCCCATCCGGCGTCTACGGGGAATAAGCGAAAGGTGAGACACGGTTTCCGGCTCTCTCTCTTTCCTCGAGGGTGTTGGGGAGTGTCGACTCGACGTCGAGTGTTCGAGTCGGAAATATGTCGGCTCGATGTCGACCGTTCGAGTCTGAAACCCGCGAAACGCTGTCGTCCCTTCATGCCGGTACGAACCGGAGGGGCAGTTATTAAATACTTCGTCCATAACGTTTCGCTGTCCGAAACTGAAATGGAAAGGCAATAGGGGGCATGTAAGGCAATAGGGGGCATGTGCGAGCGCGTATATAGGTCGATGAAAGAAATTCCCCGTCGTTTCTCGTGCGAGGGAGACAGCTTCGCGTATGCGACTGACAACCTTTACGTCGACCTTTGAAGGCTACGAGACGTCGACACGCAGATTGCGTTGTTGCCAACGCCTTCGTCGCGGCCGTGCAACGCGCTGCAACGCGATTCGCAGCCGGATCGCCGCGAGCATACCGGTGGCACTCGGTGGAACTCGCTTCAATTTGGCACGCGGTAGTCAAAATCGTGGATCTCTATAGGACCGAGACGTGAGGGTCTGCAACTCGCGTGAAAATGTGAATCGGGCGCGGAATTCGGTCCCACGCAGAATTCCGCGCCCTTCGCCCCGACGAGCCGCGGTTGCCTGCCAAGTGCAGCGCCGGCGACGCATTTTGCATGTTGGGAATTCCGTTCCGCCGCCAACGTGTTAAACGTATGATTTCCGCTGCACGCCGTTCCCGAGATGTTCCGACCGCGCCGGTTCGACGCGATCCGCCCGCGAATCGCGTCGCAGCGCGTCGCACGGCCGGGAACCAAATCCCCGTCGCTGCCTTCCGGCGTCCATCCGTTGCCAAAAAAAAAAAAATTTTCTCTCGCTTGTTTCCGCGATTTCGCTGCATTTTTATTATTATTTGCATCAGATTTTTCCGGTTTCATCAGATTCCTCGCTCATTTCCCGCCGAGTAGCTCAACGAGTACAGTAGGTTAAAATTAAAATAAAAAGAAAGGAAAAAGAAAAGCAATAAGCAATGAGCAATAAGCAATAAGCAATAAGCAATAAGCACGCATTCCCAATTCCCAGCACGAGATTCTCACGAGAAGCGACAAATAAAAATATGAAAGAAGAAACCTGGAACAGAACCGTTCCCGGAACTTTTTTTTTTTTTAAATCATCCCTCGCATATGTACGCTTTAAAATATTGCAAGCATTTATTTCTGTGGTAATATAAATTGGTAGAAGTTGATAAAAGTTTAGGAGATTACGGGTCACGAGGAGCCGGTACTTATTTTTGTTTATTTTTTTTCTGCTGAATTCCGTTCGATGCCGCCTTCGGTGCCGCCTTCGGTGCCGCCTTCGGTGCCGCTTGACACGGAATGACCCTGCCGCACGTTAATTAGCTTAATTATCGCGGCGAGCAGACGGAGTGTGGAATTTCGCTGTTTTCCGCGACCTTTTCGGGAGGATTCTTCATCGCGAGGGCCCACCAAAAAGTCCGCTGAATTAATTACTGAATTAATTAATTACTTCCGGAGCGAGCGATGTTCTCGTCATTTTCATTCTTCCAGATCGAAGCCTTTCCTGTATTCTGTTAGGGTTTTTTTTTTTTGTCGCGACGGAAAGTGCGGAAATCGAAGCTTGGCGAAACCGCGAGCGAGACGCACGACACGTCGGCGACCGCTTGAAGCTGACCGCTTGAAGCTGACCGCTGGTCCGCCAAAGTCATTCTGCAAGCCGTTCCCGCGAGGGCCGGACGACCCATGATGAATGTTCGGGCCGACCGTCGCCAGTCGACCGTCGACAGTAGTTAGTCGACCGTCGACAGTAGTCTAGGAACTTCAGACAGCCGGCGATGCCGTTAATCCATCTGTTAATCCATCCGTTAATCCATCCGTTAATCCATCCGTAAGTCGTAGACCGGCGATCCAGCCGCGCCGGATCGCAACTTCCGATATCCGGCGGGAAAAAGAGCGAACCGCTTTTCCGAACTTTCACGACGATCTGGCATCAGTACCGAAAGGACGAAAGTACTGAACTTAGTACTGACGGAAAGTACTTGCGAGAAGTCGGTACTTCGAGATGAGTACCGGCAAAACTGTTCCCTCGGGAAGGTTCGCATCGGCCGATACGGAATCAATAATCGATCGATAATCAGAGGCATGGATTCCTAAGCGGATTCGCATAATCTAATCTAATCTAATCTAATCTGCAACTCCACGTGCAAATATTCCAGAGGAAACCAGGCGACGAGCGAAATTCGAAGGTGAAATTCGCTCGCACGCCCACCTTCCGATCTCTGATCGTTCCTCCCGGCTCCAACCGGCACTTAAGCCCCGGTTCCAACCGGCACTTAAGCCCCGGTTCCAACCGGCACTTAAGCCCCGGTTCCAACCGGCACTTAAGCCCCCGGCTCCAACCGAGCAGAAATATTAGCGAGGTCCCAGTCGACGAAACGGGTCCGGCACCCGGAAGCAGTTGTCGAATTTTCGCTTCGAACATTCCGAGTTGAGTTTATTTGCGTCATTCCGAGTCACGGGCATATTCGGATGCCGAGTGGCTGGATGACTGGATGGATGACTGGATGGATGACTGGATGGATGACTGGATGGATGACTGGATGGATGTTAAATTACAAAAATTACAGACGCCTTGAGGGGAAGGGAAGGTCTGACCTTCGATACCTCTCGACTTATTTCCTGGGAACCCCGTAGATGAGAAGTCAGTTCATTCCTTCACCTCATGAACTTCACCTCATGAACTTCACCTCGTGACCTCCCCCTTGCATGACGCATTGAAGCCGATGAATGAGGAACGAGAAGCATGAAGAGAAATGATGGAAAATTGACTCTTCCCGGACCGTCGTCGGACGCCCGACGTGGATCGGTCGTCGGGTCGGTCGTTGTAGAACCGAAAACCCCATTCTCGGCATGCTATGATTGTTCTTTCCGCGGTTCGCAGGGCGTGTCCCCACGTTCACTGCAATCTTGACGGGGGGGGTGAGGGGGGGGGGGGGCCGTCGCCTACCTCGCGTTAGGGAATATGCAGGTATGATCGACGGGTTCCACTTCGAAATCGACTGGGCTCGTCGAGTACGAAGTCGGTGTCGTTTCGTGAGAGATACGCAAGAAAAGCGTGAATTCCGAGTCGTCTTTAAAATTGCGAAGGCGTTTTCGTGTTCGTCGGCACCGAGTCGATCCTCTTCTCTTCCTTTTCAGACGGCTGTCCTTTGCCGAAATATTTCGAAGAAAGTGTTCAAACTCCGGATTTTTTTTTCCCCACTCTTACGTAATGCCTGCGTCTGCCCTTGATTGCCCGGGAAATCTCGATGCGGTTACGAGTTTGCAGTGACCTCTCGCGGTTCGATTGCAATGCTTGGACGGGACCTCAACTCTTTTTTTCTCTCCTTAATGCTCAGAATGAGAGACGGTAGACATACAAATCTGGTAGCGAAAAGCAATGTGCATTTTTATAGAAGCAACAATATCGAACTCGACGTTCCTCCATACTCTCTTGATAAAAGTGCACGCCAAAAGTACGCAATAACAGCCAATATTGATGAAAATCGACTCACATCGCGAGCTCCTGGCATAGAATCTCATCAGGAGAGCCGGCTCCAGTCATAAGCAGCTCGCCCCAGATGAGATTCTTCAGAGATTATTAATTAGTAGTACCAGGTTAGTAGTTCTAGGTTAGTAGTACTACGTTATTAGTACTAGGCGTTAGCTCTTCAATGCACCAGTTGAATGGCATCTTTCCGGCCTTCTCGAACCGCTTCGTCGGCGAAGGTAAAGGAAATTCTCGCAACGCCCGCGGCAGCCTTGCCAGCTTCTCGCGGGTCGTGAACCACGCGGCCGTGCAGCGTCACGCCGCGCCGTGCGATTTATCGCGCGAATCCCGCAGAGACGTTTCGCGCTCGTTCCTCGCGATTGCCGGTGGCAGGACGATGTGGCCCGAGCGAGAGTCGTTTCTCGCGGGAGCCGGAGGGTGCCAGGGGGTGCCAGAGGGTGCCACAGGGTGCTTTGCCGACGGCGATTGCAAGGCAAGACTTGTCGTCCTCTGCCAGAGAGTTTTTGGCATTACTTGTTCGGTTCGGTTCAACTCTCCGTAGAAAGTACATTCGGACCGTATTGCTCCAAATCGGTTCCGTTGTCTGTACTACTGTTGTCTTTCGATTCCTCCATCCTAGTACTTTCAATTGTACTGGTTCAGTGCGTAATACCCCCCTTCCCGAGAAACTTTGCGGCCCCGACTGAAAAACCAGTACAAACGCTTTTATACATTTGTCTGTATCCACTTTAAAAAATTTTTTTTTGCTCAGTGTACAGGGTAATTCTTCCAGTACTTTCCGTACCGCATCCGTACTTGAGATCCGCTAAAGGCCCACCAGGCACACCTTTGCAAATCCTTCGATGCCCCTCCTTGTTGCATTTCACTCATTGCCAAGCTCCCTCATACCAAAGCGAAGAAGATCACGAATGCGAATCAATCGGGATGAACTGATGAAAAAAAAGTCGCGATTTCTGGAGCCGTTTCACCCGTCGAACCCTGGCTTCCCTCATTTTTTTTCCCTGCTGCGTGTCAAGCGCAAGGGAATCACACGAATGACATGAATCCTCATAAGGGGTCTCTTAGTGCTAGAATCTAATCACGAGCACGTCGCCCATTATTCTCGGGAATGATGGGGATTCCGATGCACATATGAGTTGCCAAGGCGACCTCGCTCCTCGCCGGACGTTCTGCCCCGGTCTTTCGGAGAAACTTCCAATGCCTCATGAATCCTTCTGCTGCGACGTCATCGGAGTCTTTTGTTTTTGTTGTTGTTATTGTTGTTGTTGTTGTTTTTTTTTTCACCTTCTGCCTTGTGGCATCCCAGCAGCCGTCGAACGATCCTAGGAGCAGACCCGGGCCGCTTTAAGGCCGATTCACAGTCGCACACCTAATCGACAGTGTCTGCGTTCGCGACCGCTATTTCGTTCGACCCTCGCTAGATGTCTCTCGCGGGATAGAGAGAGAAAGCGGCGTGCCCGTGGATGTCATTCAGACTCCGCCGCTGCCTCGACTCAGAGCGCCTCGCGCGGCCAGCGCGAGATGTGTCGAGTTATGGCCTCTCTCGTGAGAAAAATGGCTCTTCATTTTTCTTGCTTTTCGTTGCGCTTCTATTTACCTCGAGTGCAGGCAAAAGAAAGGCCTATCATCTTTGTGCTAACATGCGACGGTCCCGATGTCGTCTTTCCTTGCTTTTATCCCTTCCGGGCGCGATTTCTGGATTTCCTTCCCGGAAAATGCAGCAACGCGTTCGGTCCGCCCTCGAAAGCGCTCTCAAAACGGTTCGATTTGTGGACGAGATGTACTTGTGCGCCGCCTGCATTCGGGAAAATGCCAAATATTGGAATATCTTGTCGACCGGTGTTCATTCACGTATCGGTGCCTGGCACTTGCTGTACAGACCGAGCCAGAAATCATTGCTGTTATTCGTTTTCGTTCTTGTTCGAAAAAAATGACATTGTTTCCTTTCTTGGGACATCACATCGCACGAGATCCCAAGACCCGCAGATAAGGTGATAGAATGTGCTTCTGAAGCAGATTTATTTGCTCCATAATGGGCCTAAGCGCCTCTTGACACCTCTATCCGAACCTTAAATCGTCTGATGATATGTCCTGCTCGCATTTATGAGTTTTCTGCCGGGGTTATTAATTTCCGCCCACTTTGAACGCCGTCATTTATGGGACTTTCAGACGGATGGATCTAAATATAGATCAGCTATTAAGTTCCAGTGTCCTCGTTTTTCCGTGTCTGCGTGCGCTTGACGTGGAGATGACGGCCGATGATTGAATTCTCCATCTCGAGGGGAAGGAGACGGAGGAGAAGAGAGGAACAGAGGACAAGGAGGACATGCCGAGGGGAAGAGTATGAACCCGGTGGAATACGTGGAGAAGTCTCGGTTCGGGAACGCGCTCAGACGATGCAGGGAGAGTCGCCGGCTCGTGTTGGTCATCGTCGCCATCGCCCTCCTCTTGGACAACATGCTTCTCACGGCTGTCGGTACGGTCGGGCGGGGTCGGGGCGGGGTTGGGGCGGGGTCGGGGCGGGGCGGGGGGGGGGTCCACGGGTGTGGAGGCCTGGAGGGTGCGAGGTGGAGGAATGGGATGCCTCGTCTCTTTGCTTTCTTGTTTGGTGCGGAATGGATTTCGCTGAGATGATTCGGATATGGATGCGTCTTCTGGGGTTGTTGCATGCAAAAGGCAAAGCAAGATTTAAATCTCTGCACCTGCTCAAGCATTTTCTGTACTTGAAAACTTTTGCGGATATCTTACACAGCTGCCTAAGAGAAATTTAGATGCATGGTTTCTCATAAAAAGCCACGTTTCCTATTTCTTTGTTCTCACAAGTTCCTTGGTTTTGCTTGGTAGACCTCATTCGTCCAGCCCCCCAGAAAGAAAGCCCAGGGTACGAAGTGGCCACTCCACAGTGGCCACTCCGCAGTGGCCACTTTGACCACCTTGCGCAATCAACCTAAGCAATTTGGATCGACCAACTCTGCTTCTGTTATAGCTCTATAGGCTCTCCCATAACTCCAATCTCTCACAATTGCAAATATTAAAATATTAAACTCATAATATTTGCGCATAATATTAGACGCATAATATTAAATGAGATAATTACTTTTCAGCCACCTCATACATCTCCGCAGGCATACGACGCATCCTTGAACTTCATCCGGGAAACGGGAACTTCGTTGAAAATGTTCCTTCCCGTGGATTTTTTTTCGGCTTTTATCACCTCGATCTTTTTATGTAGGAACTCAGTCCAAAATGCAGCGTTACTGAACCCTCTGGAGCAGAAAAATCGCTCCAGGCTTGAAGCATCTGAGGAAGAGAGGACTTTGGTTTTTTTTTTCGATATTACCGGAATGTGTCGCGGTTCACTGGGGCCGGAAAGTCGTGATTACGGGGACTCTGAGAAGGGCATCTACGAGGTATTCGTATTTTTCGCGTCGCTGCCTACGACGCAAATGCAGCCGTTTGACGTTACTGACGTTCAGAGCATTTCCTTTTTTTTTTTGCTGTCCGACATTCTCCCAGGAATGTAATGAAAATGTTCCTGTAAAATCGAGGATTGTATCTTGCAGCCGATTGTGATTGCAGCTGCTCTGGTTCCACTTCAAGAATACTTTTTTAGGCCAATTTTCCCATAACTTCCTCTTTCCAAAGTCTCGATTTTCGCTTTTTCCCGCACTCGGAGCTCTCAGATGGAGCATAATTAGATGCACATAAAATACGTATTTCATGTAAAATATTAATTTTGCCGACAGGCACGCAACAGTCGCGAAAGGAAATTGACCGCTCCCGATTACCAAGTTTCGAAACCTGATGACTTCTCGATGAACCTATCCGAGTTTTCTCTTTCTTCCATGATTTTTATTTTTCATTATTACCCATTATCGATTGAAGGCTTCGTTCTGCAATTCCTTGAGTGCCGTTTAATGGGATCTTTCGAATGAGTGAGCCCCGACCCGTATAAGTCCTGGCGTTAATTATGGGGAATCGTTCCGGGTGAGTACCTCAAAGAGGCAAGAGAGAGGGGCGGAGAGAAAGGGAAAGAGGGAGAGAAGAAAGAGAGAGAGAGAGAGTGAGAGGGAGAGAGAAGGAGGGATTCTTTCTCGGCGGAGCTCTCATAGAAAGGCATTGATCCCCTTTGGAATTGAAGCATCATCTGCTCCGATGACGTCCCCCCCCCCCCACCCCCCCTTTTTTTCCCCCGGCAGTCCCCATCATCCCTTCTTTTCTGGCGATGATCCGTCAAAAGGATGACGAGAAGCTGCTGCTGGAGAAGAACCTCACCAGGACGGCAGAGGGCGACGCCTGGAACGACTACGACAATTTCACGTCCTCCACGTCCATCCCTCATGACACCGAGGAACTCCCGCCTTGCCACGTGAACGAAACGAGAGGTCGGTCGGGCAGTCTGCTTCGCCGTCGCGGTGCGATTCGCCGCGTTTCGCGCGTTTCGCGCCTTAATCGAGACCGGATCGTTGCAGCGAGCGGGAAGCTGGAGCATTACGAAATCGTGAACGAGAACGTGGAAGTCGGCTTTCTCTTCTCGTCGAAGGCTTTCATTCAACTCATCGCCAATCCCCTCGTGGGGCCGCTCACAAACAGGTTCAGAGAAACGAATAAAAATCCTTGAAAATAAAAAATAAATCCTCTTTTCCCGATGATTCTTCGAGGTGCCTTATTTTTTTGCACGCAGGATCGGGTACAGCATGCCGATGTTCGTGGGGTTCATCATCATGTTCCTGTCCACAGTCAGTGAGTTTCCTTCTCGCCGTCGATCGATAGGCTTTTGTGTCGAGAAGCCCAAGAACGACGCGGGAAACAATGACCCATTCGATGCCTTCGGAAGCCTGGCCCCAGACGAAGCAAGGCTGCGACGCCTTCCCGAATCCCTGCGAGTAATTTTTGCTGTTTTTTTTTTCTTTCAGTTTTCGCATTCGGACGGACGTACGGGATCCTGTTCATCGCTCGAGCTCTTCAAGGCATCGGATCTTCTTGCTCCAGCGTTTCTGGTCTGCTTCACGGAACGTCGTCTCTCGCTTTCTGTTCTCTCTTCGAAGGCATCTCCCCCCCTGAAATCAACGATTTCGTTCGGTCGAAAGAGCGGAACCGGAAATTCTATAGCAGGCTTGGATGAAAAATTTAAAAATGAAAAATAAAGGGCCCAAGACGAGGTCCTTCGCAGACCGAGGGCGTCTCGTTCTCTCCGATATCTGTTAGATTTTCAGCATTCGGAAGCTGGGCCCGCCAGAAGTCCGAAAACAAGGCGATGATACACTGGGCATTTTCGGATGAATTTCTCCGCCTGAATGCCTGCGAGACTCTTGAGGGATTTCCTAAACGCTTAGATAGAGAAACAGCTTCAGCTTCGGTTTGCAGGGAAGGTAGGGCAGTCCTCGACGGGAAGTGCAATCATTAGCCTCTCGACCTTCAGCATCCTGCTTGAGGCATTTCTATTCGCTTTTCTGCTTTCGGATACCGATTTCATTCACTCGAGCAACCTTTGTGTTGCACGCGACACTTGGGAGGGTCGAAGGAAGCCATATTGGCAGAGGTGAACGAAAAGCGAACCGAAATCGCTCACTCGTTCCGCTCTTGCACCCGAAATGGGGGAGGGGGCGGGGGCGGGGGAGGGGGAGATGCCTTGGACCGATAGAGGAAGAATGGCTTCGTCTCGTCGGTGCAAAGGAATGGGGATGCTGGCGGAGAGGTACCCGGACGAACAGGAGCGGGGGAATGCGATGGGGATCGCCCTGGGGGGCTTGGCTCTAGGCGTCATGATCGGACCGCCGTTCGGGGGGTTCATGTTCGAGTTCGTCGGGAAGTCTGCGCCTTTCCTCGTCCTCGCTTTCCTCGCTCTCGCCGACGGCAGTAAGTCTGCGATCCGTCGCCTTGAGGCGCGGAGCCCTCCACTCTGGGTCGATGCGATATCCCGACCAGTAACATTTCCGACTAAGTCTCTCGATATTTCTGAATAGTGAATATTAGATTTTAAGAACGGGACAGTAGGTCAGTATGTGCCCAATCACTCCATTCTTGTAAGAATAACCCACATATTTTGACGAAATCCTTTCTTTTTTGTAGCTGCACTTGCAATCAATTGCTTAGTTTCGAGATGGTTTAGTACCAGCCGAGTGACGAAAGCTTGATGTCACGATGGATTCTGATCGCAAGTTTCGTTGCTCTCTTCCTGCCAGTGCTGCAGTTGCTGATGCTGCAACCGAGGGTGAAGAAGCAGGAACAGGAAGGCGCTTCCCTGATGCAGCTCATCATGGACCCTTACGTCTGCATCGCTGCAGGTCTCTTTCCACAGCATAGTTTTCTTTGCCCCCCCCCAATCGATCCCAGACGAGTCACTTTCCCGTCCGTCCATGCGTGAGGCAGGAGCGATCACGTTCGCGAACATGGGAATCGCGATGCTGGAGCCCTCGCTGCCCTTGTGGATGAAGTTCACCATGTGCGCGCCGGTGTGGCAGCACGGCGCCGTCTTCCTCCCGGCCTCCATCTCCTATCTCATCGGCACCAACGTCTTCGGACCCCTCGGTCACAGGATGGGAAGGTGAGGCAGAGGAATCGTCTCCACCTGGTGTGATTCTTAACTCAGTCGTGAAGGTTGTTCCATTGGGAAGCGAAAGGAAATCAAAAAGCTTCTTGATTCGACGAGAAACCCAGTGGGTCGATCGCGTGAGAACCGGATTGATTTTGGATTTCGGAAATGGGGGCCATAAATCTTTGGAAAGTGTGGGGATTCCAGATGAACCAGAATTATGCGGTACAGTGTTTCTCAATTGAGCCAGACAATATATCACTAGGAGGAGGAAATGAAAATCGGATCAAGTGGAAAATATCGTAATAGAGGAGCGGGGAGGTTCTCCGTTGTCGCGAATTCAGTCCAAGCGGGTTTTTGCGGATAGCGCTTTCACGAATTCCTGGTTATGGAAAAAAAAGGAAAGAACACATCTAAGAGCTGTCAGATTTTTTTCACCATGCCCCTGAAAAGATACGGACTTGGCTCTCCTCCCACCATTCTCCGGAAGTCGCGTTCATCCTGGACTACGATTTTTTTCGCGTTCTTTCCCAGGTGGCTCGCTTCCATGCTCGGTCTCATCATCGTCGGCATCTGCTTGATGCTCGTGAGTTTAGCTCGCATTTGTCTGTCGTTGTCTCCCTATGATTCTGGCACCCGTGACGAGAATCTTTGACGCGTCGTCGCGAGACTGTAGGTGCCCCAAGCGACGGAATTCCGGGACCTCATGGCCCCGATGGCCGGCTTGGGATTCTCCATCGGCATGGTCGACTCCTGCATCATGCCCGAGCTGGGACACCTCGTCGACCTGCGGCACTCTGCCGTCTACGGCACCGTCTACGCCATCGGGGATGTCGCCTTCTGTCTCGGATTCGCCGTCGGTGAGGCGCGGTCGATGTTTCGTCGCGAAATTCTCGAAAGCGGTCGTCGAAGAGCTGCACGAGCCCGTCGTGTTTCTTTCGCAGGTCCTGCTCTATCGGGGGAATTGGCGAAGAACATCGGCTTCGATTGGATGCTCTATCTCATCTCCTTTATCTGCTTCGTTTATTCTCCGCTTTTATTTTTCATACGGAGTCCTCCGACCCGAGAGGAGAAAAAGGTGAGATGTGACTCCCTTCCATTCGGTCGTGCAGTGGCCCTAAGCCCATTTAATTTTCAGTTCAACCTTCGCATATTCTCTCCTCCTCGTGAAGAAGCAGCTCCTTTGAACATAAAAAAGACTGAGCGTATGGAGTAGTGGTTAAAATACTGAAAAATATTAGGCTCAGTGTCATGTAAATCTCTCTACAGTCGTACACTCCGTCGTGAATCTGAGCCCCGATTGCTTTTTAAACAGTTTGAGGACTCACGGAAAAACGTAGAAGCTTGGAAATGAGAATTTTAGGGGGGTTTTGTCGCTGACCGAACTCGGGGATGAAAGGCCCCCGTCGAGGACGGAGGACGAGCCACTTTTGGAGCTCGCGTTCTTCCCCTCCCGGGATTCCCCGCCGTTCTGGGACTTCTCCGACTTTCGCGGGTCCAGGGATCGATCGTGAGCCTTCGCCTGCCGCGGCAGAAATCTTGGAAGGCGTCTTGGGATCTCGTGATCTCAATCTATGGAGAATTTTCCATTCTCTCTTGACCGAGACGCATTAGGATTGCCTTTTTAAAGAAGCACCTGAGAGACGCATTGATTGCGAATCGTGATTCTTTTTCACTCGAAGTCGTGCTGTATCTTTCAAAAGTATCTTCAACTCTACTCTGGATGCTCGAAGAGACACTAAGGACTTCATGAATGTCTAACAGGAGTGCCTCGGTTTATTTTCCTTCAATGCCTGCAATCGAGAGCATTTTGGGCTGATGCTTTAAGTAGAACCGGGATCTCATTCCAGGATTTTCCTTAGAAAATTCAGGATTTTCTTTGGTTAATCCAAGGTGCATCGGTCTATCCCTTACGAAAAATCCACACATGTGGACTACCCTAAGGATTTGGATGAATCCACATGTGGTCCACATGTGGATTAAGAGGATCCACATAGAGTCCACACGGGGATATTCTTATGTCCACATTAGTCCCCCTGTGGACTTGTCCAAATCAGTCCACAACAGTCCACATTAAGTCCACACTATT